ACATAAAATTCTTCATTTTTTGTATTACTCGAACAACTGTGGTGATCGTTTATTCATGTTGACCCCATTTAGGCACACAAGAAATTTTAATTTAAAACATATGTCGCTACCTATTTGCGAGTAGAAGCACTACAAAACGAATTTGAAAATGTGACGTAGAAACCATTGTGGAATTTTCCTCTAACGTTGATAGAATATCAGTTGGTATTTTTAGTGTTTTGTTTTGATATACTGTAACAGTCGTGATCGTGATATAGGTAGTAAAAAAGTGTACATTTAAATCCAAATAAATTAGACTTGACTAAAGTTATGCTAGTTTTGTTAATTTTGTTGTCTGAAAAGTATTGTGCTTATATGAGGACAGTGTGATTAAGTGAACCAAATTAGAGGTAAGTTAGTTTTTGCAATGGATATTATAAAATAATTAATTTGCTGTTTTCTTCAAGTACTAGTGCTTTAAAATGAGAAGGAGAAAGCCACTTACATATGAAGAACTTTTTGAAGAATAATTGGAACGAGGCTTGTCGGACGTTGAATGTTTATTAAATGACGGAGACGAATTGTGGGAAATACAGAGCAATACAGGTAATTTTTATTACTACCGAACTAAACCATACAGAAATCAATTAGGGATTCTTTTGTAGAACAACTGGATCAAAATATTAACGAAATTGATGACAGTATAGTTGAAGAGGTCGCTAATAAACAAAATGAAGGAACTTATGCTGTTGGAAGTAGTTACCAAGAAGATGAAGTTCAATAACACCAAAAGGTGACATCAAATGGCGTACAGGTATTACCTATGTTACACCTACTTTTCCTCATCATCAAGAGGAGGAGATTGAAGTTTTAGAATTGGAGAGCCCATCTACTTTTTCTTCAAATACTTTACGGAAAATTTATTTTCTCATGTGGTGTAATTTACAAATATATATGCTGTGCAGAATAATAATGTATTTTTACCTATAAATATAGTAGAAATGAAATCGTTTGTTGGTGTTCATATTCTTATGGGAAATATACACTACCCAAGGATTAAATTTTATTGAGAACCTAAACTTGCTGTTCCGCTAGTTTGCGAAAGCATGCCAATAAACTGCTTTTATAAGTTGAGGCACAACTTGCATTTTACCAATAATGAAGAGACAGAACAAAATAATAACGATTACTTTTGGAAGGTAAGGCCTCTTTACAACACTATAAGAGCTCACCTGCTTTCTCTTCCTTTAAAAGCAAATCTTTCTATTGATGAGAAGATGATTCCTTTCAAAGGAAATCTGAATGTAAAACAGTATGTCCAGAACAAACCAAAGCCTTAGGGGATAAAACTTTTTGCAATCTGTGGAAGCAGCAGCTAGATGTTAGATTTTATATTGTATCAAGGTACCAAAACAGAGTTTGATCATACTTTGCTAAAGATATTTGGACAGTCCGCTACTGTTGTTGCACAACTTAGCCGCAGACTAAACAATTCAAAAAATTTTAGGATTTATTTTGATTACTACTTTTTAAGCTACAATCTTCTTTAATACCTGAGAAATAAACAGATAAATGCAATATGTACAGCACGGTTAGATCGCTTCAAAAATCCACCATTGACAAAGAAATAAAAAAAAAAAACGAGACCGTGGATGTTACGAGCAAGTAGTTAGTGAGGATGGTCAGAGGATGGAAGTCATTATGACTAAGTGGTATGACAACAAATCAGTTGTCGTAGCATCCAATTATATGGGCTCTGGTACACCTGATATGAGAAAAAATTTATTAAAGTTCAAAGACCTAGATCGAGTATACAAAATGCGCCGTGTCTCTTGGTGTTCCTTAGAACACATTTTAGATTTACTACATTTCAGGGCATACTTGGCAGAAACACTTATTTTGGCTAATCAAACTGTTACTAGGAAAAGAGGTCGTCCAGCCAATGACATCCAATGACAAAGTATATCTGCTGCAAATGAAACATTCATTTGTGCCTGGATAAACAGAAAAAATTGTTTTTTTGATTATCACACAACATAATACTATTTGTAATTCACTGCAATAAATTTACTACAAGTTGGAGTTTCTTACATTTTATTCCCTCTTATTCACAATGTCTTCGTATGGGGACAACCCATAACCTGTAAGGGTAAACAAAAAAATTTAAAATTACATTTAAAAATCTTAAAAAAATAAATTAAAATGATACCAAAATAATATATTTTTTGTAATATGAAATAAAAAGTTGTGAGCGAAAGGGTTAATAAAGATTTCTTTATAAATCTATAACCAGTACCTACATATAACGTATAATATATATTATACGTCATTGTCAAATCTGTCTGTACGAAAAACAAAAACAAAAATCGAAGTCTTAATGCTAAATAGAATTGTCACGGTTGTGATGTCCTTTCACCGGATAAATGGTGTCTTTTCACTGTAGGGGTTTTAGGAGTAACACTTTCACTATGTTTCAGGGTTTGCACTTGGTTGTCATATCACTAAAATCTGGAATTTATTTTTCGGTTTTATCAGTAACATGTAACAGTTTTTTGCAGTATTGTGTCCATATTTCAACAACCTCTTTGGTGTCTGTTTTTGTGTCTCCGTCATTTATAATATTTCGAGATTTGTTGAATTCTCAAGACAAATACAACTTTGAGAATAATCGGTCTCAAAATATTTTGAGAACGATTTTCGAAGTGGAAATTCAAACGTCAATAAACGCACTTTAACCTTTAATTGTGGCTTATTCCCATTTAAATAATAATTAAGTGAAAAATTATGTTAAAGTAAAGTTCAAATGATTAAAATTTCTTTTTAAAAACAATCTATTTTCCAAAAAAAAAAAACACAAAAAAATTGATTTTAAAAACTTTTGGTCAAACTAGATTTTTAGTACAATTTCAAGAAAAATTCAATAATTGGTTTAATAAATTAAAATAATATCATATATACGTATATCTTAAATTGCAAATTATTTTGATAGAAGGAATAAATTAGTAAAACAAAGATATAAACAGTAAAATAATTGTAATTTATTTACATGGTTTTAAAATGATATTCAATATTTATAAAATCAAAAATATGCTTAGTTTTTTATTTATTTTTCTTTTTTTCATAGGTTGTACAATTCCCTCGGAATCATATAACAATTCATCCAAAACATCTATCTCACTCTCACATTCTTTTTCTGCGTCATCTAGTTCATATTCAGCAGTATGACAATTTTCGCACCTTCTCGAACATTTTAGGCCCTGCTTACGGCATTCGCAATGTTTGCTATATTGAAAAAAGGTAAACTTTACTCGTCATTTTTAACAATAAATAATGATTTTAATTTAAGGAGAATACAAATACTTGAAAATATAGGTTTTTAAGTAGTAAATGACGCCAGATTCGTTTATTAATTGTTATTAATAAAGCCTCTTTTAAAAATAATATGCTAACTCGGCTCCTATTGTTCGTAGAAAACTCTTTTTTTAGATTTTCGTCTCGACGCCAGCTACAATAATCTGTAAATTAGAAGCTTGTAGGGTACATAGGGGGCGCTGCAGCTCTAAATCTTTATAACTGCAATTTTTCAATTTCATAAATATTTCATTGTTTTTAACGGGCTAAAAAATTTGTTTCATTATTTTCCAGTGGATTATGCAAATTTACTGCTTTAGGGAGAGAATGGAACAAGAATTAGCCCTTTACCGTTTTTTAGCAATCCTATGAGCATTGAAAGTTGAAGGTTGTGGGATAAACTGATTAACGTATCTTAGCAACATTAAATGATCTAGGCCTACTACGGCTCTCATTCGATTTGTAATTTTATGGGCTTGAATGTCATGAATTTAAAATAAACAAAAAAGCGATTTTGCAATAAATATTACGTTTTTTAATTTTGAGCTTCATTCGTCATTTTTGCAATAACAAATTAAATTGAACGTATACTGGCTCAAATTGAAGGTCTTTTAGAGTACTTTTACAATCTATACAGAAATTACCCATTACAACATTTACCTTAGGCAAAATATGAAAAAAAAAAACTCAAAAAATACGTATTTTGCACCTATAAATGCTCATAAATAAACAATAACCAAAAATTTTTTGTTGAATGAACTGGGGGATTGCCCCTGAGGTTGCCTTTTATAACCTAGGCCACATTACATAAATTCCTGGATTGGAGAGTACTTTTTCCCCCAGAGCCTGGGCTATTAATCTTATATAATATAATTAATTAATAACCTATTACCAATGTGTGCTAATTTTAAATGTATGTAACAATGTGAGTTTGATCCTATTCTTTGTTTCAAGTTAAGAAAATAACATTGCGCTTATGGAGATCAGTGTAGCCAAAACTCTCAGACACTCTTTTGCATGGATGTCCAAGATATTCCCTTTGCTTAATTTTTGAATTTTCATTTTCAATTAACATTTAACTGTAAAGTCAGAATAACTACAAAATAAAAGCCTTATTATCATTATGTAGTCAGAGAACGACATAAAATCGCTGACATACGCAAATCGTATTATTTTAAGTTGCAATTAGTAATTAGATATACGCATTCCAAGTCCGTTTATTTGCTTTTAAAATTTTAATATGCGGCAAAATGCATTATTTAACTAAGCAATATTTTCTACTGATTTCAATGATTCATGTCTCACCGAAAAACGAATAAACTGTTGTTACTATAATTAAAATAAGATAAAATAAAATAATCTTTTGTAAATACTATTTATCTAATTAAAATCATTTTTCCTACTTTTCATCTCTTGTTTCGAATGGGCACTTTTGGTCAATTACGTTAAAAAACATTAATTTAATTCATGTCTGTGGAAACGAAAATACAAATTGTACAACCTTAAATTGTGCTTGTGTGTGTCGTGGCAACGCTGCGTTTCTATCGTCCATAAGAAATACATGGCGCTATCTCCGCAATGTTATTTTCTTAACGTGGAACGTAGTATAGTTATGACCGTAGTGATCCTGCAGTAGGATCTTAGGCTATTATAACAAATCTTATTTTTAGCAAATAATACAAAAAACCGTAGTAGATTATATACTCCATGGCGGTTTCATGAACACTGGAGAGAAAATGTTCGAGAGTGATAACTATCGAATAATATATTTTTATAGAAAAACAGACAGCGGCATTCCACGCTTCAAGCAAGCTTCAGATGCTGATATAGAGATGCCATATTATTTTTTGGTCGGTTCCAGCACAGGGAATTTCTTACATACAGTTACTCACTTATGCAGCCAGGTAAAAAATAACACACTAGCTTTTGATTGATTTTTTTTTATTTGCAATTAACGTATCTTAACTACTTGAGGTCGTTAATGCAAACGTAGTGTACAATTGTTACATTTAATGTAAATATACAGGGTTAATATAAATAACTAGACAATACATTATCTATGTAATTAACAAAAAATAAATAAACAGCCAGTTCACTGATTTAAATTAATTTGTGTAAACAAGTCTCTTAAAAAATTTAAAACACTATTAAATTGATCCGGAAAACTAAGAATACTTTTAGTTTCATTTTGAGGTTTTATTTTCTTTTAGACCCCGTAAGGGATGCGGGCCACTTAAGTAGAATTTACCCACAGTATCACCTGATTTGATCGTAAAAAGCGACTAATAGGAGCAGCACCCCTCTGTCGACTTCCTTGAAATCCTGTCGATACCTAACCCTCAACGACCGAACCGCGATATCCATCTCCAACTCACCCTGCGTCCTTTGTCCGCGTGTAAGTGGCAAGGACCATCTGGGCGTGGGTGAAGCGGGCATGTATATGTCGTGCAACCTATCAAATTGCGTTCAGAACGTACAAACCAGACACGCACTCCTAAATATACCCCAGGAGAAAACCTGCCGCGAGTTGGGGGTTGAGACGTCAGGCTGGTTCCCTGTCACTTTTAAAAAACCACATTTACCATAAAGCCTAAAAGTTTTCGCGGAACTTCGGATGGATTAAATTGACAACGACAACAGCTACCACAATGGACAATGAACATTGGTGAACATGAAAAGAGGTATATCCGTAATGATACATAAAAAACATCAACGCAAAATAACAGACTTTGAAGCCGTAGATGAAAATATTAAACGAATCAACATGACAATCAACCAAGAACCTGTAACTATTCTTGGTATATGAGATATCTGATGATGAACCTTATGCTGTTAAAGACAAATTCTTTGAGAAAATCAATGACGAAATTACTAAAATTGGAAGTACTAGAGAAGTAATCATAACAAGAGATCTGAATAGTAGAGTCGGGCAGAAGGTAAACAACAAAGTGGTAGGTCCGCATGAAAAAATAACCCAAAATGAGAATGGTGAAAGATGAATTCAAATTTGCGAAAACCATCAGTTAAAAAATAACAAACGAATTTTTTAAATACAAGGAGATACACGTATATATATAATATATATTATATATATATATATATATATATATATATATATATATATATATATATATATGGATCCAAGTAACCAGAAATTTAAAATCGATTATAGATGATTGCGTGATACGTGATTACAAAACAAAATACAACATTACACCCAAAACAAAAGAACTACCTGAAGACACAGAAATTGTTAACACAACAAATTACAACCTGGACAGCTTACAACATGAAAGTACGAGAACACTATATCAACGAAGACTTAATGAAAAATTAGTAGATATAATCGAAAATGTATCAGTGGAAGAAGTGTTTAAAAATATAATATAATAGACAACGTGTAAACAGCTGCAAAAAAATCGCACCCAACGACACAGTAATGAGCTAGGGTGGACCGAAGACATACAAAACCTAATAATGGAGAAAAAGAAAGCATACGCACGGTGGCTAAGTACTAATCATCAAGTAGACAAAGACAAATATCTGGATTTACGAAGAACAACAAGAAGAGCAATAATAGCAGCAAAAAAAGAAATGTTGGATAGGAAATGCCAAGAGATCAACACTTACATAGGCGGAAGAAAGTGTTTAGAGACATGGAACATTTTAAACCAAATAAAGAACACAGCCAGAAATACTACCTCTATTCAGTTAATACCAACAGAAAAATGGAAAAAACGCTACGAGAATTTGCTAACAGAAAGTAGAGCAGAATATACCACACAATCACCAACGGAAGTATTCGTTGAAAGCGAAGAGATAGTGGGAGTAGATATGGTGAAGAAAGCTGCAACTGAACTAAAAATGGTAGAGCTCCTGGCCCAGAAAACATTCCAGCTGAACTTATTAAATGTTGCACAGTTAAACACACAGTCTATAAAAAGTAGCTTATATTTTTTCCATCCATAAAAATGAAAAAAAGTTGGACTGCTAATTAAGGGTTGTTACTCCCGAAGGTACTTTTTAAAAAGGCCCTTTGAAAGGTACAACTAACAGATTAATAGCACTTTATTTAATATAATTACAAGTAACTTTGAAATAAAAATTTACAGTATTTATATGAAATTAATTGATGACGACCTGTCTGCAATATGTGTCGAAACTGCTGATCGGTTGGACTATTGAACTGCAATACCGCTCACAATTGGGGTTATTGTACCGTAATTTCTCCATCCCCTGAGAAAGTTTTGTGAGGGATGAACAAAACTCTGTGTACTGTTTCTGAGGACTCTGTGTAGGTACTGGTCTGGGATGTCTTCTGCTGCTGCTGTGATTGTATTCTGCTCATCTTTTTCTTTTTTCAGTTTGCGTAGCTTGAGAAAACTAAAAACTAAATGAATTGCTACCAGGATATATAGCGGTGGTGTCCATATGTAGCTGTGCTCCATTTGTGTTGGGAGAATGGATTGGAACCTTTCTTCTTCCTGTGATAGCTTGTGTAGTTCGTCTAAAGGAATTCTGTAAAATTTCAGGGGTTTGAGTATTGGATGGTTCTTCGGAATAGTGGTGGTCTTGACTTTTAGTAATGTTAGTGGTTCTTCTTTAATTGTTGTTTTGGAATTCGTGTAAACTTCATTATTGGTTCGTAGTTCACATCCTGTTGGTAACTCAATTAAATAGGTCCCTTCGAGTACTCCTATTTTGGTGGTGGTTCAACGGGTAAATACTTTCGTAGCCTTTGGAAAAACAGCAATGTGACAGTGACATGTGACAGTGACATGTGACAGAGACAGAAACACTTTGGGATTGGGCAGCATCATTGACTAATTGGAGAATTTGGATGATGCAGTCATTAGTCTGGTCATTCTCTTGTGGAAATTTCTCAGGACAGATGTATGATTTGGATCCACTTCTTTTGCATGGTAGATCCATATATTAATTCTTTCGTGTGAATTTCGACACGGGTTGGTGTTGGATTTGCCTTTTTTATATATTACTTCGTAGTCAAATTTCTCCAGCTTTAATCTCCATCTGACAAGTTTTGAGTTTGGATCTTTAAGTGAAAATAGCCATTGTAGGTCGATGGTCGGATAAAATTTTAAATTTTGGTCCGAAAAGGTATGGGCGGAAGTATTTAGTAGCCCACACAATTGCTATCATCTCCTTTTTGATAGTCGAATATTTCAGTTCAGTTTCATTTAAAGTTCTAGATGCATAGGCGATGGGTTTATCATTTCCTATTGAACCTTGTGATAGGATGGCTCCTATAGTGAAGTTGCTTGGATCAGTTGTAAGGTTGAAGGGTTTAGTGAAGTCTGGATATTGCAGAAGTGGTTCATTAATCAATAAGCTTTTACAGGTTTTGATACAGTGTAAGAATTCTTCGGTATGTTCAATTTTTGCATCCTTTTTAAGACATATGGTAAGTGGTTTTGTAATTTTGGCAAAGTCCTTTATAAATTTTTTATAGTAAGCAAGTAATCCTAAAAATCCCCGAATTTCTTTCGCTGTTTTTGGTATAGGATAGTCTATGATGGCTCTAGTCTTAGTCGGATTTGGTTTAATTCGCTCGCAGGTTACGACGTGGCCTAGAAAATCGACTTCTTAAATAATTCACATTTGTCAACTTGTATCTTAAATCTTGTTTCTCTTAATCTTTCAAAAATCTTCTTAAGATTTACCATGTGTTCTTGAAGCGAGGTTGAAAATACAATAATATCGTCCATGTAGACAAGACATATTTCTCCTATAAGTCCTTTTAGTACGTTCTCAATTACTCTCTGAAATGTTGAGGGTGTATTTTTGAGTCCGAATGGCATTCTCAGGTATTCATAGTGGCCATTTTCAACGTTAAATGCAGTCTTCTGGATATCTTCTTCGGTCATTTCAATTTGATGGAATCCACTGGCTAGATCTAGGGTTGAAAAGTATTGGCAGAGTCCTAGTTTGTTTAGAATGTCTGTTATATTTGGAATTGGATATCGGTCATCGATGGTTTTCTCGGTTAACTTTCTGTATTCGATAACTATTCGCCATTTAATTTTTCATGAGGCGTCTGGTTTCTTTGGAACGACCCAGATTGTGGATGACCAAGGTGATTGACTCGGTCTTATGATTCCTTGATTGAGCATCGAACTGATCTGCTGACGTACTTCTTCTTTATGGATGTGTGGATACCGATTTGACTTGGTATAAACTGGAACTTCGTCTTTGGTTCTGATATGGTGCTTTATTTGGTTAGTAAATGTTAAAGGATCGTCTGGGTGATAAAATATTTTTGCAAACTTCCTCCACAGTCGTCTTAGGTGAGATTCTTCTTCTGTATTAAGGTGATCGGTTTTAAGGAGAGGATCGACATCTCTTAGATTACTGTCTTCGGTAGGTATGACATCTGACGTGTATATATGATATTCTTCGAGATTTATTGCTTGACTTTTGATGGGATCAGTTAATGCTACTTGCATGTATTCATCGCTGTTATTGCCTAGCTCGGTTCAGGCAAGTTGATTACAGGCAACAGTAAGAGTTTCGCTTAGGATGGCACCTTCGATTTCTTGTCTTGGGATGACGATTGTACCGGATGCTTCCTTTACTGGCATTCTGACTTGGGTAATTGTTTGGGGCTCTAGATGGACTGTATAGAATTGAGCTTTGTTTGTGACATAGTAATTAATAGGAAAAATAGAATGCTCTGTAGTAAGTGTAGCTTGGATAAAGAGATTTGCTTTTAGAAGTTTAAGATTGTCGAGGCCGATAAGACCGTGAAATATCTTGTGAAATTTAAAAAGATAAAATTTTAAGTTAAAATCCGAGTTAAATTCGGAAAAAATTGGAAGTTCTACACAATAATCTCGTAAATGATTCTGAAAAATTGATGAAACGATAAATGGTTCATATTTAATAT